ATATATATATATATATATATATATATAATTCTTTTTAATCCACTCAAATAGAAAAGTTCAAGAAAACATTATTTTGTCCTATTACATTTCTTTGCTAACATTTACATTATTTATTTATTTTAAAACTCCTATTGCATTTTTCCCCAAATCTTTCCTAAATTAAAAGTAATACTCTATCAAATATCCGAATCATTAGTCGAACTGTGTTGAACAAAGTGGATCACAATTTTTTTTTACTTAACTTTTCAATCAAAGTAAGCTATATCAAATTATCAACGTCATGAATCGAATTTTATGATTCTAACTCTTATTTTTGCTTAAAGTTTGTCAACTTAGTACTTATAGAATTATGTTAACACTTAATATAATGATTGCTTCAGCAAAGGGATATGTTTCAGTAATGAATTTATAAAATCTTATCTAAAATTAAAAAAAATCATGTATAAAAAAGTTAAAGTAATAATTTGAATCTAAATAATTAGAAAAATAATTTTTAAATAATAGGTATGAAATTTTTTAAATCTCAATTAAATTTCGCTTTAGATCCCCGATCACATTGAGTCGCCCATATTTCTAATTTATATTTGTATAACAAAACTCAGAGGTGATATAAAGAAATATACTTTAACGTGGAAATGTCATGATTAATAAGTGAAGACTTTTAGTAAATTTGAAAATTGTGAATATTATTCATGTTTCGTGGAGTTATAATAACCGTCAAATATCTTGTAAATATTTATATAGATATGTTGGTTATACATTTTAAATAATTATCTTCGAATATTTATTTAATTAGGAAGTTTGATTTTTAAATATTTTTAATCACACAATTTTTTTTAAAAAAAATTCACATATCCTAATACAATTTCAAATTTAAAAAATCACAAAATTACAAGTTCATTTCTCACGTTTAAAGTTTCTAACTTCTAAATATTTGATTAAACAAGAGCGTAAATTACTTGAGATTTTTCGAGACACAAACTATCACCCAAGCTCCTCTGAGCGAAGATTTCCACGACAATTCGATAGATAAGAAAATAAATATAAGATAAAGTCATGTTTCACAAAGTCAGACTTCATAACGGATTATCAAGCAAAGGGAACACAATATCATTATATACATAAACAACAATTTTAATAATTTATAATATTATAATTTTTCGATGAAAAAAATTATGAATGAATTCATTACGTCCCTAGCTCTATAATTTATTTATTAAATTTTATTAATATGTGCATGAAATGAGCCAATAATGAAGGAGCTAACAACTTTGACAAAACTAGATTTGCAACATTATGATAAAACACTCGTGCATAAAATAGGTCAATTATGGATATTTGATGTGACATTTAATTTCTTATATTATGCTAATTTGAAGAAATAATCATAAATTATTACCTTGCTTTGAAAACCTTTAAATTTTTTTCTTTATTAGGTTCCCATATAAAAAAGTACAAATATAAAATATTCATTCAGTTCAATTTCTGTATATTCTAATAATAAATAAATGATTTTATACATTTAGATAGTAGCTCATCTAAAAGATCAGTATAAGTAACCATACTTTGTATGATTATAATATGAAACACATTGAAATTATTAAAAAAAAAAACTAAAACACTTTTATTGTATTTCAGAATATACGGGTGTTTTTAATTTGAATATATTTTTCAGAAAAATATATTTAAATTTCTCATGTTTGATTGATCCATCGTTGAAAAATATTTTCCTCTGATTTTTTTTTTGCTTACTTATCAAACACTAGAACATACATAAGAAACGTATTACTCCCTTTGTCCCAATTTATGTGGCCTTTTTTGAATTTCGAGATTCAAACAAGTCTAACTTTGATCGTAAATTTTTTATATCTCTTTTAAGTATTTTGAATTGTCAATTATTGTGTCTTATATTACTTTTTACGTAGTTTAACAAATATATAAATTTCATTTAAAAAAAATAAAAGATTTCACACGCAAACTTTCGGTTAAACTTAAATTGTTTGACTCTTAAAAAACGTAAAGCGTCACATAAATTAAAACAGATGGAGTATTTTATTTTTTTAAAAAAAACAAATATTTTCCATGAAAACCTAGCACACCCTTAGATGCAAATTCCCCTTTTTATAATTTATAAAATCTATATATTTGCATGAGAGATTATGACAAACAACCCTCCTAGCTACTATAAATTGATCTTTGACAAAATAAAAGTTGTGTTTTCTCATTTGGTCAAATTATAATTGACCAAATTAGTAGCCTTGTTTGAATAATTAAACAAAAAAGGGATAGAATGTTACCTAGAGAATTGGAAAAAGCTCTAATTTAAGCCTTTTAGGTAGGAATATTATTCAACATAAATAATTGTAACATAAATAATTGTAACAAGGTCAAATATCACAGCTATATAATCACATGCATGATTATTAATTATTTGCTAATTATTTTTCAAAGGACTTAGAGTCTAGTTGAGAATCCTATGGTCTATTTTTGTCAAATATAGCATTCTATGCAATTCACACAATGGAAGGTTAACAAGTTGGCAACATTGACTTTGATATGAAAAATTTGCATTATTACTGTTTAGCGATAAAAGTTATTCGTAGTCTATGCCCTTAATTCGTCCCATTCTTGACCCTGACGGATTATATTATTTAGTCATGAAAAAAATTTATCCGCATCGAATATTTTACTTAACTAAATTATGAGTTCTTACTGAAGTATTTGAGTATTGTATAGATAGGAACTATAAAGTAAGAAAGGCAACTAGTAACCTAAAAGACTAGGTTTTTAGTTATGTGCGTTTAAGTCCATTCGAGAATATTCGATTAATTAAAAATATGTATATCATGTATATTGACTATATATGAGATAAATTTTATGCCATAGAATCATTTCTAAGAGTTTGAATACATTAGACTTTTTGGTTAAGGGTCGAGGAAAATTAAATTATCTCTTTTCCAACCCATGAATTTTGGTTAAGGATTAAGAAAAAATCGAACAATCTAATTCCAATTCATGTCGATCGATAATCTTAGTGCTTTGAACTATGACACCCTCAAATTAATCTTGTATTTTCATCCAAGTGACAATATTTTTTTTCCTCCACATCAACTCTCTATCACTCACACCTCACAAAATTTTTTTTGCATACACTCTAATCCGCTAACAATGATGGTGATTATAAGGTAGGTAACTGAACACTCACACAGTAAGTAAGATGAAAGTTTAGATAACCAACTAACTGAGCTGCTAAGATTTGCCCGTGAAAATTCACTTTGGGATAACGTTATGTTTAGATAACCAAAGAACTGAGCTATGCCCGTGAAAATTCACTTTGGGAGAACGTTAATTATTATTGTCGGATAATTATAAAGTATTAAACTTCTTAATAAGAAAAAAAAAAGAATTTCAATTTTTATTTTAGCAGCCCATTTTTATGATTTGGACAAGTGACAAAGCCCATCATTATTGGGTCGATTCCAGGCCCAAAATTCAAAATAGTCATTTCCTTGGATTGAAGGGAAATGAAGGAAAAATAAAGAGTAAGAGCCTGTTTGGCTCAGCTTAAAAGCTGGTCAAATTGACTTAAAATCTGGTTTTTGACTTATTTAGCTGTTTGACAATACTCAAAATAACTTATTTTAAGTTTAAAAAAACTTATTTTAAGCCAAAAGTTAAAAGCTGGGATAGGGGTGCTTTATCTTTTGCTGTTTTAAGTTGACCATATTTTTATCTTTTTGCCCTTAATATTTTTATACAATCTCCAAATTACCCACATAACCCTAACATTTCTTTCTTTCATTTTTCCATTTTCACGTTTGGCACAGCAACTTCAGCCCTTTTTTTTCCTAACGCATAACTGCTTATTTTAAAAATAAGTTTCAGCACTTTTAAAAGTACTTTTTTAAAGCTGCTTTTATTAAGCCCATCCAAATGGGCCCTAAATAGGTTACAATCCTTCTGAAACGTCGTCATTTTACGAGTTTCACACCTAAACTAATACTTGTTTATGTTATTCCCTTGAACTATAATTCCTTTTAGAGCATAATCCCCGATTGAAGATGTAGCAAAATGTTTGAGACACGTGAAAGATATATATATATAAAAAAAAGTCATAAAATTGGATCCACGTGTCACAATACAATTTACGTGTACTACCACTTAGACCGTTTTGCAAGTGTTTTTAGATTTCAATATCACGTAACATGTTATATTTCTCTAAATAGTATTTTAATATGAGTTCGTGATAAGTGATAGTCGAGGAAGGTCCTGTGATCAACAACCAATAATTTAGGTACGAAGTTAGGGTCATCAGTTTACTCAACAACTATTATTCCAAAATTATTTTTTTTGTTTGAATTTTCACATATAACTTTTTCGATATTTAATATTTCCCAGTTAATTTCATTTTTTGCTAGTTATTAAATTTAAAAAGTTAAAATAAAAAGTCAAAATGAGCTTAACAGCTTGTGTAAATAAATAGACAAAACTTTGACTCAAATAACAACACACTCAACTAATTATCCAAAACCATCAAATTTCAGAAATTGAAAAGATCAATTTCCGAGTACATGTTGATTTCTTACTTATTTTTGCGATAACATCAAAATCAAACGACGAAAACCAAAAAAAAATCACACCTCTGTTATTTTTTTATTTAGAAAAAAAACACTCAAATAAAATATTAATTTATTCGTGAAATAATATCAATTAATTTAGCAATGTTTAGCGCAGAAGCAACGGCGGCGGAACCCACGACAGTGACCGCCGCTAAAGCCTTCAGTCTTACAGACATTAGCACAATTGTTCTTCCTCACGCACGGCCCCTTGTACCTGTGACTTTGAGACTCACAAGTTCTTGCCTCTGTAAGTTCTGTAAAAATTACGATAAACCTAAATTTGTTATATTAAGTTAAATTATAATAATAATAGTATTTATTTTGTTAGTAGTATATATAAGGGGTGTGTTTGGTATGAAAGGAAAATGTTTTCCTGAAAAATAGGTAGATTTTGGACTTATTTTCTTATGTTTGGTTGGTGAGTAGAAAATATTTTACGGAAATGATTGTTAGTGTTTGATATGTGTATGAAAAATGTTTTTGAGAGATATCTTTTATTTTTATTAGAGTAAGAAATAATTTATGAAATTGAAAATATTTTTTAAAAACAATTTTTTTTGGGATGGTGGTGGTGGGGTCGGGGGAGGGGATAGGAGTGAAAAAATAGAAATTTGAAGTTTATAGTATTTTTAAAAAACAAAATTAATTTTTTTTGGAGGTTGGGGGTAGGTGGGGGCTTGCGGGGGGAGGAAGGAGGGAGGTAGGAATTTAAAAATAAAAATTTAATGTTGAAAATATTTTTTAAAAATAAAATTATTTTTTTGGGGAGGGGGAGCTGGCTGATGGTGGGTGGGTGAGGGTCAGCGATTGGGTAAAAAAATAAAATTTTAAAATTGAAAATATTTTTTTAAAATTGTTGTTTTTCCTAAAAAAAATGTAATTTAAATGGAGGAGAGTTTTGTAAAATATTTTCCTTAATTTTTGTAGGCAAGT